TTAACATTTAGTCTCTCAAAGTCTACACATGTTTCTTCTGTTGTTCTCAAGTCATAAACACCTTTCTTCTGCTGATCTGGCTGTCAGGGATGTTTTCTCTGTGAAGTCTTCTCTGCGGACTCTTAGCTAGAAGAGCCGTGATACCTTTTACGGATAGACGGTACTTTCTTAGAGAGCTTAGCAATTTCTTGAGAGCTAAATGCTTATTTTTCAGATGGTGGTTTGCTCCCACACTGATTTTCAAAATCCCTCTCCTTATATACCTTGGATGACATATCAATTTTCTGACAATAACATTGGTCTGAGGTTGTCAAAACAATCAGATTTAAATTTAGTTGGCTTCCAGTCGCTTAGTGCTTGGTTTAAATTAATTGGCTGATTCCAGCTAGTTGCCAGAAAACCAAAACAAACCTAAGCTTTCCAAACACACAGTCAATTGTTACATGTTTCAATTTCAGAACTGACTGTACCCCTTCAGCTGTTTAGGCACATTTTCTGTATAAATCTCTTAAGCTTAGAAAAGCACTTTGCCTCTTAAAGGAGCCACACACTCTTCTCCCTGATCATTTTTTACAAACAAATTCTAGCTTCCTGCCTTCCAATTCACGATTACTCAACACAACTTTGTAACACCACCCCGCTTTATGAAAAGATGGCTGTTCTTAAATTTTAACACCGTTATCACGAGATACATAGGTTAGTAATCTAAAGTTACAGCTTTCATACTAATTCTGCATACATATATAACATGGAACCGTACTGGTTCTATCTTATGTACACATTTTCTTTTAAACCTACCATTACGCATCTGCAATAACATTTTTACAATCCGCAACATGTACAATCGGTAAATTAAAAGCCTGTAATATAAGACTCCAAAGAAATAGTCTTGTATGCTTGTCCTTAAATCTTTCCAAAAAGATGAGATGATTGTGGTCTGTATGCACAACAGTCTCTGAAACATTGTTCACAACATAAACATTAAAATGTTGTAAGGCCAGTACCAAACTCAGTAATTCTTTTTCAATGGTGGAGTATTTTTTCTGGTGGACATTGAGTTTCTTTAAAAAATAACCAATTGGCCTTTCAATTACACCATCATCCTCCTGTTACAACAGTGCTCCAACCCCACATCACTGGCATCGATAGTGACTTTGCAGGGTTTCAAGAAATATGGTGTGGCTAAAACTGATGCGGTGGTTAACACAACTTTTAAATTCTCAAATGCCTCCTGGTGTTGTTCTGTCCACCGACATTTTGTGTTCTTCTTGAGCAAATCGGTCAGTCATACCATCACACTACTAAAGTTTGGTGCAAACTTCCAGTAGGATCCGCTAAGTCCCAAAAATCGAAGCACCTCTTTCTTTGAAGGTGGTCTTGGAAATTCCTCCATGGCCTTCATCTTCAAGTTCCTCAGGGTCATCCTTCCATGTCCAATGTTGTGACCCAAGATCGTCATTTCTGCCTTCGCGAATTCAGTTTTTGCTAAATTCGTAACCAGTTTTGCCTCCCGAAATCTTTCAAAAAGCTCTGCCAAATGCACCATGTGATATTTCTATGAATGGCTAAAGATCACTAAGGTATCTATATAGGTGGCACAATTAGTGTGTGCTTCATTCCAAAGGGGATTACTTTAAATTGATGCGGCCCATTTGCGCTGACAAATGAAGAAATGTCTTTTACTCTCTCTGACAAAGGTACTTGCCAGTAGCCACAAAATAAGTCCGACATTGTGGTGCAAGTGGCTTGTCCAATGTTTTCCACACAGTCTTCCAGCCTTGGGATTGGGTACGAGTCTAATTTAGTTATGGAGTTGACCTTCTGATAATGCATGCAGAATCATTGAGTATCTTCAGGTTTGGGAACCAACATGATCAGTGAACTCCACTCACTTTGGCTTGGCTCGATGAAGGCTCCTTGGAGCATCGCTTCCACTTCCTTCTGTAACTGTGTGGCTCTGAGAGGATTAAGCCTGTAGTGATGTTGTTTAATTGGAACAGTATTCCCTACTTCAACCTCATGTACGAATATTAGTCCTCCTCATTCTATTCTTACATATGTCCTCATTTTGCTGCAACATGGCTTTCAATTCAGTTCTCTGTTCCTGAGACAGAGAGCTCACTATCCTATCACATTCTCCAAGGACTTCCACATTATTTAATTTATTTTGAGGCACATCAAAATTCAAATCATCTGGATTCAATTCCTCCCTCTGAGGGCCTGTAAATAATACCAGTTTCTACAGTTCCCTGTCCCTGTTATATAAAGGTTGCAGCATATTCACATAACATAGCCGATAAAGTTTTTTTTTTCTGATTTGGCATCTTTACCAGGCAATTCACCTGACTCAACTTCTTTACAATCTGATAAGGACCATTAAACCTTGCTTTGAAGGGATCTCCTACCACTGTTAACAGCACTAATACTTATTCCCACTGGAAAACATACACATTTTAGATTTCTTATCTGCTTCCTGCTTCATTAGATGATGCACCACCTTCAAATGTTATCTAGCTAATTCACCTACCCTGTTTACTCTTTCTTCACCTCAGATACATAATCTAACTACCAGATCTCTGACTTCAGATCTATCAACTTTTCCTTAATTAGATTTAAAGACCCTCTTACTTAGTGTCCAAATATCAACTCAACTCACGACTACTCTACATAACTTTGTAACAATATACTGCATTTTTTCCACATACTGGGCCATGTCTTCAATGACAGGATCAACTGAGTCAAGCTTCCCAAATAACAGTATGATGCCATAAATGCTTATTCCAATTCAAAGACAACTTTTGAGAGTGAATTTCTTCAGGCATGTGCTTTTCTCTTGTTGCCACTGAAATAACTCCACAGAGGCCAGTATCTCGTCACCAAGTCATCCTTTACTTACTCGTAGAGACTCCTTGACCCTGATCCTGCTTCCTCAGAGCCAGCTCAAGAGTGAACAGAGCCTCTGACATTCCTGTTTACATCCATCAGCCAGGGATCCCTGATTAGACCACAGTAACAGTCTCAATCAGCAAACTCACATTCTATGTGGTCCACCTGGCTGGCCTCGTTACAATCACTACATATGTTGCATCAGATTTTTATCTGGAGAAAGAAATGAAGGCTAGAGGACTCGGAAATAAACACTGATGTTTTGATAATTCAGAAGAGAAACTGCTGGGGGTCTTAGATAAATCTCTGGGATCTGCTCAAGTGCATCCCAGGGTACTTTGGGAAGTTAAGGAAGTAATTGCTTATTGGAAATATTTGTATCATCAATTACCACGGGCGAGGTGCTGGAGGACTGGACGGTGGCTACAGTTGTGACTTTATTTAAAAAGGCTGTAAGGAGAAACCTGGGGACTATAGACCTGTGAGCCTATCCTCGGTGATGGGTAAGTTGTTGGAGGTGATTCTGAAAGATAGGATTTACATGCATTTGGAGAGGCAAGGACTGATTAGGCATATTCAGCATAGTTTTGTGTGAGGCAAATCATGTCTCATAAACTTGATTGAGTTTTTTTATATAACAGAATCCGTACAGTGTGGAAACAGGCCCTTTGACCCAACAAGTCCACACTGACTCTCAGAGCATCCCACCCAGACACATTCCCCTATAACTCACCTAATCTATGCATCCCTGAACACTATGGGTAATTTAGCATGGCCAATCCACCCAGCCTGCACATCTTTAGACTGTGGGAGGAAACTGGAGCACCTGGAAGAAACCCACACAGACATGGGGAGAACGTGCAAACTCCACACTGACAGTTGCCCGAGGGTAGAATTGAACCCAGGTTCCTGGTGCTGTAAGGCAGCAGTGTTAACCACTGAGCCACCGTGCCGTAAGGAAGTAGCCATAAAGATTGATGAGGGCAGAACGGTAGACTTTGCTTACATGAACTTTAGTAAAGCCTACGTCAATGTTCTGCATGGTAGACTAATTAGTAAAGTTAGATCACATACAGTTCAGGGTGAGCTTGCCAACTGGATACAAATTTGGCTTGACGGTAGGAGACAGAGGATGGTGGTGGGGTATTGTTCTTCTGACTGGAGGTCTGTGACCAGCAGTGTTCTGCAGGGATCAGTACTGGGTCAACTTTTGTTTGTCACTTACATGAACAATTTTGATGAGAAATAGGAGGCATGGTTAGTAAGTTTGCAGATGACACCAAAATTGGTGGTATGATGGATGGAGAAGAAGGTTATGTAAGATTACAGACATCTTGATCAATTTGGTCAATGGGCTGAGGAGTGGCAGATGGAGTTTAATTTGGGTACTTGTGCAGTGTTGCATTTTAGTAATACAAACCATAGTTTTAGACTTACACAGTGTGGGGAGTGTCAAACAGAGAGACCTAGGGGTGCAGGGTCATTATTCCTTGAAAGTGACATCACAGGTGGACAGGGTGCTGAAGGCGGCATCGGCACGCATGTCTTCATTGCTCAGATCATTGTGCATAGGAATTGGGGCATCATGTTGTGGTTGTATAGGACATTGGTGAGGCCTCTTCAGGAGGACTGTGTGCAGTTCTGGTCATCCTACTATAGGAAGGATATTATTAAACTGGACAGGGTTCAGTAAAGATTTATCAGAATGCTATAAAAATGGGCTGGATGGGCTGGGACTGGAGCATAAGAGGTTGAGTAGTGACCTTATAGCCATGAGACTGTTGAGAAGAATGAGTTATTCTACCTCTCTCTCCTTATCTTGAAGCAGCTAAAAGAGGACTCCATTCTCCTCCCTGATTGTCTTCCAACACCTAAATGGTTTACATATCTTGTTGGACTGTAACATGAGCCAGTGTTGGGGTTGGTGTATGGTGGAATGTGCATGTCAATGAGCTGAAGCTATCTGAAGACCACTTTTGACATACGCGGCACAGGTAAAATCACACTTGGCTCTGTCTGTCTGGACCTCATTAGGATCTCACTCATGAGTGTATCAGTGACACTGAGCTGAACTATTGACTTGGGGCATCAGTATGGTGTCAATCACAGGTGCTTCAGCTGGGTAGGACTGGAATCCGTCCAATAGCCAGTCTTCCAACTAAAGGCACTTGCGTGACTATTGCCTGACGTGGACCAGATCCAGAACTGAAATGGAGTGAGTCCAGTGTCCCAGTGGATCTCTGCCGCTTCAAGCCTGGTGGTTGTTTGAAAGTCACTGAATGGGTTGCTGTTTTCTGTAAATATTTCAAAAAGTGCACTGAGTAGAATTTCCCTGAACTTCTGGGAAACAGCTATCTCAAAGCTAACAGTTTGTTTCATAGTAAATATGGATAGAACCTTGTGAAGGTTTGTAGCTCAGGTTGTGGATGAGGTTGTGGACTTGCTCGCTGAGCTGGCTGGTTTTCGTACAGATGTTTTGTCACCATGCTAGGTAATGTCGTCAGTGCAGTCTCCAATGAAGCTTCATCTAAGGCCACCCTGATGAGGTTACCTAGCATGGTGACCAACCAGTTCAGCGAGCAAATCAACAACAGACAAAACCTATACCATCAGGTGCAGTCATGTATGGATCTAGCAATTAACACTGGCCCAAGAACAAACTCTTGTGGAACACGCATGTTCCCTGTAGTGACAGTCTTGAAGTCAGTCAGGTGGATGTCATAGAATATGAGTCCCTTGATTGGGGCTGTTAACCTAGTCCAATCAGGGAGCCTTGGCTGACAGATATAAACAGGAGTGTCAGACATCCTGTTCACTCTGAGAGCTGACTCTGAGGGAGGTGGATCAGTGTCAAGGATTGTTCATGAGTAAATAAAGGGTGACTTGGTGATGGGATACTGGCCTCTGTGGAGTTATTCTCAATGTGGAAGTTTCCCGATCTGAGAAACTCTCTTTTACACTTTGTGTACTCTCTGCCCTCAAACATCTTTCTATCTGTTTGGCCAACATTTTAATAACTATGAATTTTAACAGAATAATAATGGCACAGAATAATAGTGTCGAAATATATAAATAGCCATTCACTCCATCAATTTCATGCCTGTGCTTTTCTCAACATGAGCTACCCAACCCAATGCCACTCTTTGATATGCTATCGATTTACCTTTTTCAAAGAATACAGACTTTCACAGCATTGTGGGTGTACTTCTGACAAATGGACTGCTCAAAATGGATGGTTCAAAAAGGCAGCTAATTGTTAATTTTTTAAGGACAAGCAGGGATATTCAATAAATGTTGCCCTATCCAGCGATGCCTCCATCCCATGAATTAATATGAAAAGAAAAGATTTTTCTTACCAATCGTCTTCGCTCTTCTTCAACAGTATGAAGAAGTTGTGCAAATTCTTTGAAGGACTGAGCTGGAAAAAAAGGTGTTACATATTAAGTAAAGAAAGTCATATCTCTCATAACTTTCAATCCACAATTCATGACTGCAATGAATTATTTTAAAGATGTGCTTAAAATTAGTGCTATGGTATTTGTAAATGGCCTAATATTACATGGGCAACAAAAACAGAGATTGCTGGAAAAGCACAACAGGTCTGGCAGCATTTGAAGAGAAATCAAAGTTAACATTTCGATTCCAGTGACTCTCAGACTGATGGCTGCAAGGAAAATGTGGGTTTTTACGCAGAAGATAGGGTTTAGGGAGGGGGTAAGGAGTAAATAATAGGTGGGGATAGAGCCCAAAGAGAGAAAAAAACAGTTGGACAGACAACTATCTGAATGTGATGTCGTTGTGGAAATGGGGTTTTAGCAAATGCCTGGTCAAACACCAGGAGCGACAGTGAAATTAATTTTGATGGACAAGAAAAAAGATTGGAACGGAAATCCCGACGAAGGGTCACTGAACTTGAAACATTAACTTTGATTTCTCTTCACAGATGGTGCCAGCCCTGCTGAGCTTTTCCCGCAACTTCAGTTTTTGTGCTGTATAACGCCTCTGGGTTTCTTCAGTCTCCACTGTAATTTCTCCTGTCTTTGTCTCTTAGGCAACCCACGTTTATTTCAGGAACAAAAACAAAGTTGCTGGAAAAGCTCAGCAGGTCTGGCAGCATCTGTTAAGGAAAAAACAGAGTTAACATTTCGGGTCCAGTGACCCTTCCTCAGAACTGAACATTCTTCGCTCCAATGAAAAAAAGCCCTAGCTACCTCAACCTTTCCTCATAAGACATTATGTTCAGTTCTGGTCACCTCATTACAGGAAAGATGTGGAAGCTTTCGAGAGGGTGCAGAGGAGATTTACCAAGACGCTGCCTGGACTGGAGGGCAGGTCTTATGATGAAAGGTTGAGGTAGCTAGGGCTTTTTTCATTGGAGCGAAGAAGGATGAGAGGTGACTTGATTGAGGCGTACAAGATGATGAGAAGCATAGATAGAGTGGATAGTCAGAGACTTTTTCCCAGGGTGGAAATGACTATTACAAGGAGCATAATTTTAAGGTGAATGGAGGAAGATATAGGGGATATGTCAGAGGTAGGTTCTTCACACACAGAGTGGTGGGCTTGTGGAATGTGTTGCCAGCAGTGGTAGTGGAGTCAGATACTTTAGAGACTTTTAAATGACTTTTGGATAGGTACATGGAGGATAGTAAAATGTAGGGTATGCAGGGTAGATTGATCTTAGTAGGATAACAGGTTGGCACAACATTGTGGGCCAAAAGGCCTGTACTGTGCTGTACTGTTCTATGTTCTATGTTCTATGTTTATTTCTGTTAATTTCATTTTTATTTGTCTGTGAAATATTTAAAAATCTGTTTTCATATTTCTAACTAGTTTATTCTTATTCTATTTTCTCCCTCAATAGATTTCTTGGTCAACATTTTCTAATTTTAAAAACCAGTCAATCTTCAGCTTGTTACTCTTTTCAATAGCATTGTAAATCTCTTCTTTTAATCTAATTTTGGATCAGATTTTTTGAGGACTGTTAGTCTCACTCCCCTTTTCTGTTCTTAAAGGGGGGAGCTCTGCATTTCTGAAAGAAGATTTTGATTAAGCTCCTTCAAAAATACAAAGCTGTACTTCCATTCTGACTGTTCTCTCCTCTTTCAGGGCCGTGAGGGGAAGGCAAACCGTATTCCCTTTTCACAGCAGTCTGAAGTTTAAAGGTCCAGAATCACAGGTAGACACTGTGAAAGCTGCTGTCAAACAGTAACTATATAATGGACATTAGGGTGCTAGTGTCTGATGTAACCACATCACTTTCAAACTTCATCTGAAATTCTACTATTACGACAAGAATCATTTACTGCCAGTTCACTCATTAACCTTGCTTCATTAGACAAGGCTAAATCTAAAAATCCTCAACTGATCTGTATCTATTTCTTGCTATAGGCTACCAGGCAATATTCACTAAACGTCAACTGATCTGACAGAAATCTCAAATAAAGTTTCTCCCAACTTGCTTACTGATAAAAATGTCAGTTCAATCTCCTGGTTTCTGAGTCTGCTGCAAATTTTAATACCAGTACTTCTAATATATCTCCTTTACCTTCAACTGATGTCCATCAACTGTGTCTGCCCTTTGTCCCGCCCTTCTCCTTCAGTCCTTTCCCTTTCAGATCTACAAAAGGATTACCGATGTTCTCACCTTCCACTTCACCAGCCTCAATATTCGATGGATTACCCTCTATTTCCTCAGCTGGAGTGTGATACTGCCAAACATTTTCCTTACTCCTTCCCTCCATTTTTGTCCCTTCCATGATATATAGTCCCCTCCTCAATCATTGCCTCCCACTCCCACAGCATCATATCATGCAAGTGCAAGATCTGTAATACCTGCCCTTATACCTCCTCTCTATTCATTGGACAAAGCACAAAACATTTCTGCATCACTTTTAGCTTTCAATTTATTGCATCTCTAACTTCTTTCAGTTCTGATAGAAGTTATTTGTCCTGAAACATTAATTGTTTTTCTATCCACAGATGCTACCTGACCTACAATATATTACATATTTGCAACATTCTGTATTTATACTAGTCCTAAAATAATCTCTGTTGGTGCCTTGAGATACAGTTGGTTCTGCTATAACGCATGTTCCGTCAACACGAATTGGCTCATGAATTGAGGGGACATAGCTTTAAATTGAGGAGTGATAGATATAGGACAGATGTCAGAGGTAGGTTCTTTACTCAGAGAGTAGTAAGGGCGTGGAATGCCCTGCCTGCAAAAATAGTATTCTCGCCCACTTTAAGGGCATTTAAATGGTCATTGGATAAACATATGGATGATAATGGAATAGTTTAGGTTAGATGGGCTTCAGATTGGTTTCACAGGTCGGCGCAACATCGAAGGCCGAAGGGCCTGTACTGCGCTGTAATGTTCTATGTTCTATGTTCTAACACAATTAACGAATAGGGGAACACTATTTCTGCAGCACGATCTTGTGTTGGCTATTACGTGATTCCATTGGCGCACAGAGGAGCAGCATCAACATCACATGATCATTTCATGGGCTTTGTCATGAAATGCTTTCTGTGAGAGGTACAGTGCAACCTCCTCCCCCCATCAAGTTATCTTGACACTATTTCAAGGTAAAGTGTTAAATTTACTTTCATTTTATTATTAGATATGAATTAAATATTCATTCAAATTGTGCTATCCTGTGTGTTAGGCTTTTGAGTGATTTTTAAGTGATTTTTTTTGGTGGTCTGCCCATCACTCCACTTTTCCCACAGGCCCTGTTATTTCTATAGCGCAATTTTCTATAACACAATGTAGCTCAGGAACGCAACTATTGCATTATAGCAGAACTAACTGTATTGTGATATAAAATGAACTCAAGTATATTCTGTGAAGGAATTGTCTTAGTTTAATTTGGTCAGTCTATACAAAGATTAAAGGGCTCTATGATTATTGTGACAAGCACCTGTAATTTCCTGATTTGTACTCGTTTAGCACTACGACTGCTGTTAAGGGCCTAAAATGAACTGATTCTACCATTTAACTTTCTAGGCAAAGATAGCTTGTTGCCTCTGTTTCATTCTTAGAAGAGATACTCAAAAATTCCCATTTTGCCTCTTTTTCTGAAAGTCAAACCAAGTATCTTGAATGTTTTAGTCAACTGCTTTTAATATTTATTTATAAATGTGGGCTTCACTGACAAAGTCAGCATTTATTGCCCAACCTCAATGGCACTTGAGCATATGATGACGCTCTACTTTCTCTAACTGCTGCAGGATGGCAGTTTAGTGAACAAGATGGGTTTTTCCTACAATCAACAATGGATTCACGGTCATCATTAGATTCTTAATTCCAGATATTTATTGAATTCAAATTCTACCATCTGCCGTGGCGGGATTTGGACCAGGGTCCCTAGAACATTATCTGGGTCTCTGGTTTAACAGTCCAGTGATAAAACCATTAGGTTATCGCCTCCCCCAAAAGTTTGCAAGGTGCTATGAAGGACAATCAACAAGTTGTTGCATCCTGCACATGGTGCACTCTCCAACCACAATGTGCTGAAACTGAAGACAGTGAATGTTTCAGGTGACAATCTGCGTGGTTCAGACTGGAAGAGATCAAGCTATGCTTTGTACCTGGAAAACCTATAACTACATCTCAGTAATGGCTACTAGATCAAACCTATTTGCACAATTAATTTATTTTTTTACAATAATTTCTTGGAAAATTTAGATATTACATATTTAATTTTTATAATTCTACACTGATACAGCCTTAGTCATAAATACCCTATCATCACAATCAAACTGTATAATCCTGCTTAACACAACATAGTTAATTTTACCCAAATCATTACACTGTTCTTCAGACTTCACTTTTCTCTTCAGATTTATAAATTCAGCCTTACTTGAAACCTCACTCCGCTTATTTGCATAAAGTCCTATGCATCACAGTGCTTATTCAATTTACCAAGATACTGGTCATAATTCAGTTTAAGTACAGTCTTTTCTCAATGGAACCTGCCCACTCTCAGCTCAATACTGGTGCAAGTACCCCATATAACTCTTGCAGCCATAAGTATATATTTTTGAACATGCTTGCACCTATTTCTTTTTTTCGGTGGCTAGATAACTGAGCAACTTGGGCTGTAAGCAAGGTAATGAGAAGCTAGTCAGACATAGAGAAAAACCAGATCTACAGGAGCCTTTATCTTTATCATTTCTTTGCAGTAGCCAGTTGAAAACTTAAGAAAACCAGCTTATTATTTCTTCAGCAGATGATGCAAGTTGTGACTTTGAAATGGATAAATCAAAGATCTTTTGTAAGTGAACCAACTGCATTGTGTCTCCTCAAACCACTGAACATTCAGCAAAGGAAGATCAAGGAGAAATCTTTGGATCAGTGAGATCTTGTGAACTAAGAGTATGGAACTGTTTTCCTTATTTTCCTTCTGCCCA